CCCCAAAACCCCAAAACCCCAAAACCCCAAAACCCCAATATTGCTAAACCCAATTGAATCAATTAGAAGTTAGAACAGTTGTATGGCACATTTGTGAATGTGGAGTGTCTCTGAAGTCCATCTCAGGAATACTTAGAAGAGACAGAGTAAGAGTTCCTACTGCTTGATTTCTTCCTTGACACTCCTTTCCCAAGCACCAGCTTTTGTTTCCTGCCATTCGTGGTCTGAGCATTAGCTCTGCTAATGCTCTTCACATGCTTGGTAGATGGAATCACAATTTGGATATTTGGGTTAAAGTTGTTTCAAAAAGATACAGAAGAAGTTCCATCTATTGAAGCCTTGTTGTTCCTCGAATTGCTCTTTGTTTTAAGTTTCAAGCTAGGATTTTTTAAGAAATTCACAGATTTCTCCCCACAAGGGTTGTTTAACAAACAAATACTTCTTGGATTGTTAAAAGCCACACTATTCCGGTAGTAAATCCCGTTCTTAGTCTTTGTTTTCTTAAGATTAACTGATATTTTAGACCGCTTTCTTGACGAATTTTTTGCTCTCTTCGTTGACCTCTCCTCTTGTCTAATATTTATTGGTACCTTCTTGCCTGATTTCAAGCTTCTAGAGCTATTAAATATCCCTCGGTCTACCATACTTACGTATATTTTCCGATAGAATTGGCCGTATTCCTGCTCAAGCTGGAATTGATGAAATTATTTCTGGATAAATTGGTCGGTTTCTTACCCTTTGATTTAGCCTAAAGATTGAACCTCAACAATTTGTACCTTAGATGTTCTCTTAGTGTCAGGAACTTGTTTCGAACTGGGGTCACAGACTGGTTTGATCTCCTTAGTCCGACTCTTGCTCCTCCTGAACTTCTCAAGTTTCTTAAAACAATTGGCTGATTTCAGAAAAGTTTGAGGCTTTGATGCCATTTTTGATTGCTTTTTAGGGATTCTGTGCTAACTTTGGCTTTGATTTGAATAGAATCTTTAGAGGCTTCTTCTCCCTACTTTGACGACTCTACATGGTTTAGACGAGAGATGAAGGAAGAGTTACCTTATTTTTAAAAGAATCTTCAACTGTAGGGAAACATTTTAGGTCAACCCCTTCTGTGTTATTCCTACATGCTCTTCTTTGCTTGGTCTTGAGAGATTTTCACAACTCGCTTAAGTCCTTTTGTTGGCTGATGTAACTATTTTTATATCAAGAAGGCTTAAAGTCATTAGCTTTAATAATATTTCAAGCCAGATTTTCCTTATTTTCTGTTTGAGATTGCTTGATATCATTCTGGTTCCTGCTTTGCTTTATTGAATCTCCAAGCACAAAATTGTCAAAATCAAATGATTCAGACAAAGACTCTCTTTCTTCGCTGTGCCTAATGTCCTGCTTTATTTTGTTGAGTCTTTCTCACATGTCTTTATACTCAAAATGAGCCCCAGTGAGAGGTCATTCGTATTTTTCAGTATTATCTTCGTAGTACATTCCTTTATAATTTTCATGATCAATAGGATCTTCACTTTCTGATTCTACAGCGTAGTCTGACTCTTCTTGGTTAATATTTCCGAAGGATTTCTGAACCCCTTCAGCATAACTATAGTTTAAAATAATGAGAAATCAACTGAAAAGAGTATTTCTTAAAATTCCAGAAAAATAGTGTGAAATTTATGCGTACTCTATGATTCTATGTGGCTTGGAGGAACTTTGATCTCCAAAGGGATCGGTACCCATGAGTTGTTCGCTTAAAATTCTAGCGTCTTCATCATATTCCATTTTAAAAGCTAACAATTAAATTCAAATTTTTGAATTTAAACTGGGGTTTTGGGGTTTTGGGGTTTTGGGG